GGTCATATGGTATTTCTAGTCTCAGTTGTTTCAGGTCACGCGCCATTGCTTTCCACCGTGGTTTGACATATTTACAGTTCTACCAGCAGTGTTTAAGGGCTCTCATCTCTGTAGCACCCCCAGCATTTTTATTTATTTATTTTAACTTGGCCATCTGTCAGTGCAAGATGGTATCTCATCACTGCTTTGATTTACATCTCCCAAGAAGCTACTGATCGTGAGTATTTCTTCATGTTTGGTGTCCATCTGGAGAACAGTGGGGGTGGGGGTTGGGGGGTAGCCCTTTGTTTAAGTTATGTCTGAAACTGCTGGGTGGCCACTTCACCATCACACATGGAAAGACTACCTGGGAATAAAAACACCAGGAAGGACAGCAAAATAGATATATGGAGAAAATCCGGCTTTAGCATCAAGATCGACATGCCTGATGTTAATTTTACCACCGGACTTTTCAGCTAAATGCATCTCTCTATATCTCATTGCTTAATTCAGGTTAAGTTTCTGTCACTTACAATTCAAAGGGTTCTGACATATGTAACTATATAATCATATTGGAACTCCAATCTTATGTCAGCTATTTCTAGATAGAGGCTTTCAACAGCTCCACATCTTTGTTCTGCTTTGGCCACTGTTGCCTAATGGCCATAGTGTTTACGGGCTGAGCGTGTGTACTATTTTGCCTTATCTTACCTGTAGCATCCTTCAGTAAGCAACATCCGCCATCAAGTCAATTCCGATCCACGGCCATCCTGTATGCACTAGACTCAGAGCTACGCCCTAGTGGATTGTCACTGGCTGCTTTTCTTCCAAGACTAGTCTAGGGGAACTCAAAACTTCCAGCATTTTGGAAAATATCCAAGAATATTAACCATATGCATTACCCAGGGCCTTCCCTTTAACAAACAAAATACTTTTGATATTATTTTGCTTAATACTTCAAAGTATTTAGCAGAATGGCAAACTGAGATACTGCCACGCATATGCGCAACAATTGCAATGGACTAGATTTTAAAGAGTCACTTGGACTATTGGACCCCTGTTAATTTCTGGATTATTAATAGTATTTCATTTCAAAAAATAGAAAAGGATTCGGTTTATTTCCAAGTTTATCAGAAGCATGAGCTTTAATTAACTGCTATTAAATAGTTCAGAGATTAAAAAAAAGGCAAGCTTATATCCTTGCTGGTTCTAACCAAGTGAAACAAAAAAACAGTGAAATAACAAAAGCATATTTGTTAAGTTCTGCTGCTCACATCCAACAGAGAGTGAATGTTCTAACTGCTATCTTAAATTGATGAGTAGCACTATTTTACCCATGGTTAGAGGAAAAGGGGGAAAGCAAGTTTAAAAAAACTACCTTTATTTTTTTATTTCTTTTTCAGTTACATACTTTTACACAGGGAAGTGTTTCATTATTCAGACACTCAGGCAATGTTGACTTCATTAGTGTTGACAGAAAAAGAAGCATATAAATGCAAAACATTGTTGGCTTAACCTGAACATACCTGCATTACCTATTGTTGACCAGTTTGTGGGGCCCAAAGACTTACTCCTTGGCATTAAAACGGAGCACTTAAAAAATATTGCTAAAAAGCAAATGTCTACACACACTGGTCTTTGCAGCAAATAAGGGTATTTATACTTTTTAAAATATTTTAAGTCCATAATTGGATTAATATACATACCTTCTTATGTATAAGGAGTTCAGATCATATAAACACTGTACAGTCCAAAAAACTCTACTGGGAATAAAACTAAATAGGCTTATGATAAGAAATACAGATATCGCATGTATTTACATACATCAAAGACACAGAAATTTGGTCAAATACTGTAAAGAAAGAAGTGGTTCACATTATAATGGCCAAAATAACCATCTACCTTGCTCAAAGCAAACAAAAATAAACACTGAGCCTGCAGCGCCTGCTGTTGAAGACATCAGGACAGTACACAAATGGAGAATGGACACGGAGTCCACATTACACAGTACGGGCTTCCCAGGCCTTTAAAATCAAGAATTAAAAAAGGAAAAGATTATTCATAGGATTCATAACAACATTGATATACAATGTTCAGATCTGTGATACTCGTTCGGATATCTAATCATCAAAATCAAAGCATTGAACTTTTGGCTAAGACAGGTAAAAATAATAATAATAATAAATTACAAAATACAATTAAATTCCTGTAAATGCAATAATGAAGTCAAAATGTGGAATTATTTACTTTAATACACATTTCGAATGTTATTTTGAGATAGCAAAATAAATAAGCATGCCTGAAGGCATACACATAAAGACAAAGAAAAAACGGAACGGAGGGAGTCTTATAAATGAAAAGGCGAGTATGAGATTTGAACAATATAATCATCCTCACAGCCAGTCATTTTGTTCTAACCGTTCAGGAAAATCCTGTCGGGTCTCAGGTAACAAAAGTACACCCTGTTTTCATGGCTTCAAACAAAGCGTACTTGAGAAGTGGAAGGGTTTCTGCCTTTACAGGACTGTTACTCTGTTCACATGCAGGCACTTCAAAAGACTGTGGAGGCAAAGCACCTGGCCCACCCTCTGCAAAATAGTTTCCAATCGCCACAGTGACGCTACATAGTGAGCACACTCCAAAGATCCAGCAAAGGTGAATACAAGAGACGAATGTGCACAGAGGGCAACAGAGTGACCCGATTTTATTGCTGAGGGGGATAGGGGGCGCGGGGAGTGGGGTGTTTTTTTTGTTGTATCAAAGACCAAAGTAATTAATAAACAGTATACCATTGCATGGCGCATCCAGAATTGTCTGCTTAAGGGAGAACATAATCATTCGGAACTAGGTTCCAAAGGTCATCTGAGACTTCCACCTCCTTACAATGCAATGAGTTCACGTTGGCTTCTTCTCCTTAGTGTATTTGTAAAAACTCTCCGACATTTCTCACTTCTCCAAGTGTTTGTTTGCTTCTTGCTGTCTTTACACTCCTTATTCGAAAGCATAAGGTCACATCATACAAATATTCTGCATTTTGTAACTGAGTGTGTTTGCATGTCTGCAACACTGCATGTCACAGAGTGGCGCATCCACAGCAGACGTCATACCCACTGCATGTCTTGTGATTCATTTTACCACTACCATCTGCAGAACCCACACGGCTTTGTCCTCAGTACCTCTGGGCAGTGACTGTACCATGATCTCACACAGAGGATGTCAATATGAATAGCAGTACCATCAGGAATACTGAAATCAATGCAGATGTCACACAAAATATGAACTTCTCAAGGAAGAGCTTCTTTTACACATTTGGGCAACTCTGTTTTCTCTGTTGCATTATCCCACTGGGGAGAAACATCCAGTTTGATTTTGTTCTTATAGAACTTATTTTTTTTTAATCAAATTTGGTATATAACTGGTTGACATTTAAGATCGTGTACTGCTTTCTACAACAGAAGAGGCTTCTGAAAAATGCTCTATCGACCTGGATTCATCAATACCACCGCATTGGTCCATTCTCTTCATCGACGGGCAAAGCACTCATGTTTTTAACAAAACTTTAAAGCTTCCATAAAAGTTAAATTGGGGGGCTGGGGGGGAAGAATGTAAGACAATCACAAAATGAAGGTATGAGGTTTCTAAGAGTGAGTCCTGGGAAACAGATGTGGTCACTAGAGATGATTTTGATCACAAGACAGCAGATGGACATGTAAGTAACTCCCCAGGATCGGTCTGTGTCCAGAGTCACTTGTGGCGCTGAATCGTTTTCCTTTTCCTTCGTTTGAAAAAGCAGCAGCACCTGGAGGTGGAGAGAAATGCTCCTTTTATTACGAGAGGACGGACGGTCACTGAGCGAGGCGGTCCACCACATCCGCCAGCTTGTCGTGACAAGCAGCGGGATAGTAGTGCAAGATAAACAGTAAGCATGTTGTTTATTAAGATGCCTACTAAGCATATATATTAGTGAAACTATGACGGTTATTGCTATGTCTCATCACGTGCCTTTTAGGAAGAGCAAGATAGTCTGGGCAGCATGAATAAAGGCACCTTCTAACCTTAAACCCTAAAAGAGCTTTGTATCACAACTACTTGAGGAGCTAAAGAGTCCTGAATCCTCCCAGACGCACCCACCACGTGTGATTTAGGGCGCAAGAAAGCGTGGAGACATTGATAGAGCTCATCTTACGGATTCTCTTCCGTTCACCCCACTATTTACCTACGATTGTCAAAGCCTTTGTTACAAATGCAATGAGGGTTTAGTTTTCACCAAGAATTCGTTTAGCTTCCAAAAGTAAAAAGGGAAACTCAAAATACACTCTTCCACAAGCATGTCCAATCATAATCACACACTTGAAGAGAAAGTATATGTTTAGTATAGTAAGAATTCTTTATGGGCCCTTAAAATTTTTTTAATGGGGATTTATTAAAACGTTATTACTTTAGTTTATTTAAGAAAACCATGGGAAATAACAGAACAGTATAATAAGGACTAGATGATTCAGTATTATTTACATGGGAAAAATGGTCCTAATTTTTATTTTGAGGTGAATAAAGTTAGACACGCTAGTTGAAAAGAACTAGTTTCTCTCAGAAAGTTCCCCCCGTCCTCCTGTGTCTGCATCGTGGCTGCTGTAGGAGAATGCTGAGGCTGGCAGACGCTCCACAAGTTAAATGAGACTCACCCATCAGCTCACTCGCCTGCCCCTCACATACATATAGCTACGTATGTATGTCTAGTATGCATGTTTGTATGTCTAGCTCCTAAAAGCCTGGCATTGCTTCATAAAAGGTGTAGCTCTGCTCCCATTCCACACTCAAAATAAAGTAGGAAAGTCAATTTATCAGAGCATCCCGTATGACCTACAACTTAGGGGGAAGCTCTTTTTTTTTTTTTAATAAACAGTGAATGTTCAAATGGTCATCTTAATTCTTGGGAGGCTGGCTTTGAGTTTGATGAAAGCATGGTTGGTTAGCCATTACAATTCCATGTGCATCTATAAGTCATATTTTGTGATCGTTTAAAAACCTCACTGCCGGGGAATCGATTCAGACTCATAGCGACCCAAGGAAGGGACCGTTATGCAGACGGTGATTGCGTCATCAAACACTGATGCTGATAAAGATTCTGTGTAACAGGGCCTATGAAGCTGTTCCTGTAACTTACTCACATGCATCAAAGGATATGAACTCAACATTTCCAAGACATGCATAATAGAAACCGAGCAGCTTCAAGTGTCCAATCAGGCAAAAGATTACAGAAGATGAAATATCTGCCACATATCTTTTATAGCTTTCTATGAGCAAACTAACATATATCTACCCTAATCAGTTAAACTGCAAAATTTCTCCAATCATATTATCTTTATCCCCAAATAATGTTAGATTCGTTGTGACTCATGCCTTGATTAGAAAATCTCTACAGGGCTTCCAAAAGAGCCCCAAAGGTGCAGTGGTTAAGCATCGGGCTACAAAGCACCAGGCTGGCGGCTTGGACCACCAGCTACCCTGTGGGGAAAAGGTGAAGCCCTTTGCTCCTATAACGATTACAGCTTTGGAAACCAGATGGGCAGTTCTCCTCTTTACTACAGGTTTAAAAAGGGTAAGAGTTTACTCGTCCTCAACCAGTTTTGTTTGGTTATTTTGATGGAGTACTCCCAACCAAACCATGTGATTGCATTTCTTTTAGATCAGCGGTTCTCAACCCCTGGGTCACAACCCCTTTGGGGGTCGAACGACCCTTTCACAGGGGTCGCCTGATTTTTAATAGTAGCAAAATTAAAGTTATAAAGTAGCAACGAAAATAATTTTGTGGTTGTGGGGTCACCACAACATGAGGAACTGTATTAAAGGGTTGCGGCATGAGGAAGGAAGGTTGAGAACCACTGTTTTAGGTACTCTCAAAGACCATTTAGTGGCTAGACCAAAAAAATTAGAATAATCAATATGTTTCCATACCAACTGATATAGATTCAACTAGAAATATGTGCAAGTACCAGTCTTTGTGTTACTCTCATTAAGGGGGCTACCAGACAGAACTGAACTGCCTCATCGGGAGCCTAAAGGAATGCTCCGACTGTGAATCTGAAAGACCCCATATGCAGTGATCCCCCCCCCCTTGGTTTTGGAAAACCCAATGGGACCTATTTTTTGCTCTCAGCACCGAAACGTCCTTATTTATTTAAGTCTCATTTCTATAAATGTTCTAAAATGGAAAAGCAAAATGAAACCCAAGATAAGAACCATTCGAGTTTCCCACCAAGAGATCCAAAATGACATTTCAAAAAGCCTTTCCATGAAAGACTTCGTTACGGATTTGGAAAATATTCATAAGGCATAAAATGGGCTACATACTAAGCTGCTAACCACAACATCAGCAGATCGAACTCACCAGGCACCCACAGGCAAAAGAGGCGGCTGTCTATTGCTATAGAGATTTACAGTCTCAGAAACCCAAAGGGGCAGTTCTACCCTATCACATGGGCGCTATGAGTAGCAATCAACTCAATGACACTAAATGAGTACTACACATACTTTCTAAATACTAGGATTTTATCTTTTCAGATTCCAATGGATATATTTTTTTAAATGCTCAGTCAAAAGGAGACTTAATGGCTATACAGAGTCTCTGACATGGAGAATGGAACATTATATATGCTCTAATGAACAAATACAGGATTTTCTAGGCGTCTAATAACAATTTTCCTTGGGTGACTTATTTTTCTATTACTATGAATGTCTTTGGAGTTCTGAGTTGAATTCTTCCCACTTAGCATGTGAACCCGCCCTTAGTGGTATAAGTGCTAGTCACTAGAGAAAACCACGTCAAGCATTTTTCCTGAATAAATTAGATCTTCAAGTTTATTTTTAGGGTAGAATTTTAAAAATTCAAATTCAATCTAAGAAAGACGTTCACCACCACCACCCCCAATTTGTCCAACTAAACCCTTGAAATGTATTTGCAAAAGTGAAGCAGGTATACTATTAAACTGTTTACCACTAGAGGGCAGCATTGCTTTATACGCTAGGAATACATCCAGCCAGTTGCTTTCAAAATGGCTTTCATAAGTATACTTATTTATCCCACAAGTATACTTACCCCACCCGACCCCAAATTAATTAATTAATTAACTAAACTCACTGCCATCGAATTGATTCAGACTCATAGAGACAGTATAGGGCAGGATGGAACTGGCCCTATGGGTTTTTCTTTATAAGAGCAGAAGGCCTCATCATCGTTCTCCCACGAAGCAGCTGAGCCCAAATTAATTTTTCTAAACTCAAAGACTACAGAATGTCTTGGCTGAAAACCAGTTTGCTTCAGAGTTCTTTACCTGATTGCAGAGGCCCTTTAAGATTAGACACTTAGCCTATCTCAGACCCTATTAATGCAATCCTTGCGCTTGATCCTCACCTGAGTCACTCAACCACGCCCATCCCTTCCGTGCTCCACAAGATTACTCACCCCCCCTTTGTCTCTGACTCCTTCCCCTATGTCCCCTGCAAATCTCACTTTGACAATTAGTGAAAAGGTACCCTTATTCATGAAGACTTCTCTACTATTCTCAACTGTAAGTACAGACTCCATTTCCTGAAACATAGTCTAAAACATTTTAGCGCTCTCCTATAATATTTTATACATACCTTTGATTCTCAAACCTGGTTGCTACTAAGGGGAAACTTAGAAATAGTGGTAACCAGGGTCTTCCACAGAGCATCTAATTTGATCCGAACTCTAAAGTATTCATGTGTTTTAAAAATTCTCTGGATGATCAAAATGTGAAGCCAATGTTGGGAACTACTATGTAAGTCATTAATATGCTTACTGTTTTCCCTGATGAAATATAAGGGCCTTGGATTTCCTTCATAATCATCAGAGCTCCAAACACATACCAACCTGGTCAATGAAAGTTGACAGGGATAGCTAAAACAGATTTTTAGACACTGCCATAAGTCATAAAACACAATACACTTACAACTATTTAAATGTTGAGTGCTATTACTGTACATAGGAAGGAGTCCTGGTGATACAGTGAGTAAGTGCTCAGCTGCTCACTGGAAAGTCAGGGGGTTGAACCGCCCTCCACTCCACAGGAGAAAGGTGGGGGCCTGGGCTTTCTTAAGGTCTTAGAAACCTAAGGGGCAGTTCCCCTCTGCCTGTCAGGGTTGCTACGACTCAGAATCAATGCTGGGGCAAAGGGATGGTTTGGGGTCTTCTTGTGCATAGATCTCAAAATCCACCTTGATTATCTCCCAAGCTTTAAAAACATCCTGTATAGTAAATGCACTACTACTATACACAAAAAAGGCGCTACAAATCAGTACATTAAATCTTTCATAACTAAGAGCTAGCACATATAAAAATTAAAGTATTTTACTAGTAACTTGCCAAACGAGAAATGTTCAGACATTTAATTTACCTATATTGACTACAGAAACAAAAGGTAAGGTTAAAGCATCTAAATAAACTGGGGGGGAAATTAATTTCTATTGAAATATCCTTTGTTTAAATGTTCTAACTAAACATTATTAACTAAATAAGTCAAGCTGTTGGGTTTAATTAAGACCTCATGGGATATTTTAAACTTAAGGTTCAAAGTTTAAAGATTATCTCAGGGCAACTGTTTCTGGGGTTCATCCCTCCTCAGCAGCTCCAGAAAGTTCGGACTCCACAAAAATTTGCAACTCTGTTCATGTTTTTCTTCCTCTTCATTAAGATTCTTCTACAGAATCTTGGATCGAATGTTCAGAAACAGTCGCTGGGAGCTCGGTGGAATTGTGAGTTATGCACTGGGCTCTTCTGCAGGAGAAGGATGGGGGCCTCTCCTCAACCTGCCGGAGGAGTTTGACTGCCTTACAAGGCAGCTGCGAATCAGAACTGACTCAACGGCAGTGAGTTTTATTGTTTTGTTTTCTTTTGCTTTTGTACCAGTTACTCTGATCTTGTGGCAAAGGAAGTATTTGTTCCTGTTCTTATTTCTGACTTTCCCTTTTCCCCTGCTGCCTGCTGTTCCAGAGGAATAGGGACCAACCGGCATATCTTGAAAGGTCACTTGTAAACGTTTACAACCCTGAGTATTATGTAATGGACTAGAAGGTCGAACAGAAACACTGAAAATGAGACTAGGCCAATTACCTGGAACTCCCATGAAACCATGACCTTCAACCTCCAAACTAAGACTCCAAATCCCACGAAGTGCTTGGTGGTGGGTGGCTATGCAGCCTCAGCATCCGCCCCCCCCCTCCCTCTCTGGTAAAAGCGCAATAGATATTTGCTGACTGACAGAATTCACTTAATATTTTGTGCAGACTTCTCCGCTCTCCTCGGTGCATTAGCGCTTCAGATTTCAATCTTAGGCCCTTTCACCTCACTCATGATACTCACGATCTAGGCCATCTCATCCATCTCCACTGCTTTACAATCACTTTTATACGAATAACGTCCAAATTCACTACTGATATGACTGAGCTTAGTGCATTACCTAGAATTTATACATAGTAAGCCATTTTATTGTTTATTCTTTACCAGGTACACTATACGGCCAATTTTATCCTGACATCAGGACAATGAGTTGCTGGACTGTCAATAAATTCCATTGTCAAACTGATCATTGCTTTTAATAAGAAATCATTGCACAAGGTTCATTTGGTATCTGGGTAAAGAGCATTACTGTAGGAAGTATATAAGGTTCAACTGTGGACATGAGTAAACATTCTCAAACCTTTACTCTAATCTGAACAACTTTTGAAAGACTGACTCTAAATTGTCCTGAACCAATAGAGGCATTTCAAACAGTTTTATAACCAAAAGTAGGTGTTAACTAATAATTTGGGTTCACTGCTATTTCTACTAATAGGACTATTACACTTTAGTAGTACCTGAAATTAACAGGATTAACTATTAGATCAGCATTTTAAAATGAGTACTATTTCATAGTTCATCATCACATGTATCACTATATACCAGGCACACTCAATGGCAAAGATAATCAGTTAGTAAAGGGGGGGAGGGGAGAGAGGGAGAGGCAAGCGAGCCTGTGTATTCAGAAAGAGAAAGAGAAAACAAGTCCAAAACCCACCTTTCTATTAAATACAGCAAATAAAGCCTCTGTGTTACACAATAAATGCACAAGCGCAAGCAAGGTGGATGTAGCAGCTATTCCATTAAAAAGTGCTTCCAAATCTACGTCACTTGAAGCAAACAAAGTTGCAGCAGGCAAAAGAGCTCCTCAAGCAATGATTCTGTGTGGTTCAGAGCTTAGGTTAAGGACATCAAGTACTTTTGAATAAACCAATTATCACGACTGTGTTGAGAGGTTTGTTTGTTAAAATTCGAATGGTTCTAAATCTCTGAAATTACAGACAACGGAGCTATTTCTGCCTGCCTACACTTAAGAACTCACCACATGTTCAACACTTTCTGGCAGCTATATACACACACAGAAAAAAAAAGAAAAATACAAGGAAAAAAAAAAAGAGAGAGATCATCAGAAAACAGCCCACATATTGAAATGATCACATTGTTTTTCATGCTTAACTTTTCCAAGCATGCTTATTATAATTTACATTCAGAAAAAAATTGATTAAAAACTAATAATAAGGCATGCAGGATACTATGAAATAATTGTTTATTTTTAAGCTTACAGAAAAATGAACATATACCATACAGCAATAACTTTCATGCATAAAACACTCCTAAAATTCAAAAGCTCAAAATAAAATATGCTGTTCATTCTAAATAAGAACAAGTATATAAAGTCCTTTAAAAAACTGTTTTATTACTGATTTATTCATTGAAGTAGCACTAGCTTAAAACTAATGATTAAACCTAAGTGACTAAACACTGTTTTGCATGCACCGATTCTTGAAAGAAAATTCTGAAAGTAATTGCACAGGACTGTTAAGTTTTATGCATGCAGAGCTTTATAAAATTATTATTTAAATGAACAAAATGAGTACATACTTGGTTTCGTCCATCATTTCTACTTCTGTAGGAGCCGTGATAGGGGCATTTGAACGTCCTGCAGTAGGGTCATCTGTGTTTAATTCCCCATTTGTAGAACTTACAACCTGGAAAAAATATGGATATATGTATATGTATATATATGTGTGTGTGTGTGTGTGTACATTCATGTATCACTTAACATCCCTAATATACTCTGTGAAATAGGATGTTGTATAATTTGGACCATGTACAAACATGATATACAAGCAGACCGCAGATTACAGATGAGTTCCATTCATGTGTATCTTTTTAAGGCAAATTTGTAAACAAGTTGGAAAGTTAGGTACTGCTCACACCTACGATGTTAGCTTTTCTTAGCGTGTGCTAGACTGTGTACCTTCTACACATTTAAAAATTAAATTCTTCCAGACACTGTAACGTACATCGTTAACATAATAAATTGTAATAGTAGTAGTAGTCGTGATACACATGACAAAGTATTGCCTATTTGTTCATAAGAAGCAATGTATATACCTTAAATTTTTCATACAACAGGCTTTACGACAGTTGGAACCAGGCGTATATTAGCAGTCAGATATTGCCAAATGGAAATATATGGTACATGACAGTATATGTGTTAAGTAATGGTTTACACAAGGATCAACATAAGTTTAAATTAGACAGTTAATATGAGGAACACACAGAAATTGATGAGAAGCTGTCTACAACTGAATGTACAAGGGGTATTCACGAAGTTTGTGGGCAAAAGGAATTTTCTGAAGCCCCTGTAGTAATAAGTACTGTGTTTTATTAAAGGCCACACCGCCGTTTGGGCTTTTGTCAGCGATGTCTTCCTTGACATCTCTGCCATTAGTGTTCTTCCTTCTGGGTCCCCCCCACCCCCACCCCCCGCCTTTCTGGTGTTCAAGACCAATTCTTACTAGTCTTTCTGCTTCTACTTGTACTCCTCCAAAATACACTCCAAATGCTTTAGAGCAGTGGTTCTCAGCCTTCCTCATGCCACGACCCTTTGATACAGTTTATGTTGTGCTGACCCACCCAACCATAACATTCTTTTTGTTGCTACTTTATAACTCTAATTTTGCTACTCATGAATTGGGCAACCCCTGTGAAAGGGTCATTCGACCCCCAATGGAGTCGCAACCCAAAGGTTGAGAACCACTGCTTTAGATAGTATGTATCAGTGTTGCTGTTTCTTTCTTTATTGTTTTTCTCAAGATCCACAACTACCTCCCATTAAAATCTAAGCTCCTCAACAGCAAAAACCTTGTCTACCTGGTACTCCACTACAGCTCTTTACTATTTATCTGGCACAAAACACATACTCAAGTAAACACGCACGTGTGCAAATGATATCCAAAAGCCAGGCAAGACCAAAACACTACCAAAATGCCATGTCCCCTTCCCTTGGTCCTCCAAGTTTGCTCCTTTCCCTGGATCGCTAAATTTCTTAGGGTGAAAGAGTCTAACTCAATACTTATTTTTCTTTTTAATTTCCATTGATTTTATTCCTTAACTGCTTGCAATTGGCCTTTGCCTGTGCACCAGAAATCAGTTTAGAGCTCTCCTAAAAGTTATCAATGATTCCTACAAAATATATAAAGTGGCCTTTTCAAAATTCTCCTTTTCTTGTATATTTCTATATCATCATCTGACACCAGCTGATTGATTACATTTGGTTGTGACAGGACTACGTTCAAAATCTACCTCTACCACTTGTTTCTCAGCTATGTGAGCTAGGGAAAGATGCATTATCTTGTTAAACTTCAGTATTCTCAAGTAGGAAATGGACAGTGAACCTACTTCATAAGGTTGATATGAAGATTAAATGAGATAGAGTAGGGTGTCTGGCGTGTAATAAGAGTGCAACAATTGATGGTCATCATTCTTATTGGCCTTTATATAGATAATCATGGCTTTACTATCACCATGGTGTAAAAGACTCCCTGGGACTAAACACTCAACCACATCTTTAGTTAACTAGATATCTCCCTTTGACACTTCAAACTCAGTATTCCCCAAATCAAATTGATCATCTTCCCCCTTAAATCCATTTATTTTCTTATGATTCCTATTTCAATGAAAAACATACCATCTACCAGATCCCCAGGTTTAAATTCTAAGAACCATCATTGATGGTTCCTTTCCACATTCTCTAATCTCTTTATTATGTGTTAAAATGATAATTACACTATAGTTGGTAGTTCATTAAAAAATCTATAAACTAATAAATTTAAAATACCAAGACTCATATTTATAAAATTAACTCAAAATTCCTTACTGAGGATCTACAATGAACACTGCCCCAGCCTCTTAGGATACTTCAGTAAACATAACAAACAGCCCTCCCTTGGTTGACCTCATATTCTGTTGTAGAACATAAGCCCCTCTCTTCTACCTTAACAAGAGTAATTTGAAATCAACCAGTATATCTAAGTTAATTTGGAATTGTTTTCCCTATTCATTTCCCTAAAGCCTGTGTGGGCCACATACTTAGAAATCAACTTTGCATTTGTACGTATTGCCGAAAACACCAAAGATTTCTGTGGTGATCTTTAGAAGTGACCTAAGGAGTCAGCAGAGAAAAATACTCTCACATATCAGCTTATCTTTCTGTTTCTGAGGCTTAAGCATTTCTCTCTCAGGCATTCTACTGAGCTCTTGTACATATTCCCCCTCTGTGTATATTGTAAAACAATTACACTGAGCATAATTTGGTTCATCTTCAAAATTTCAGAACTTCTACAATGAATTGGAAAGAAGTTGTGAAGCAAAATTCTTGATTCTTTTTATTCTCCACTATTTTTAACTAGCAGAATGCCTTGTACATAGTTAATAACTAAATAATCCATTAAGTAATTTCTATTATTTGTCCTATAATATTCAACAGGCTTCCTCTTTTCCTTTTTGTTCAATAATATTAGATAGCTGGAGTCTACCTTAAGTTTTAAGCAGCTCTTCTATTATATCTTCTCTAACTTCAAGCAACGTGATTACAAAATTAAAAACTCAGAAATGCTTAAACTTCAGATATTCTTCAAGAGCACTATGTACCCATTGTAATTATATAAGCTGACTTCAGTTCAGAGAGGAAGATTTTCTGAACTTGACTTATATTAACTTTATTTCAGTGAAATGCTTCTATCCAACTTTGCCCGATTTAATAAAAACCAAGCCCCAGAAAGAAGTAACATCCTCCTTCAGCTAATTTCTTTTGGGAGTTTCAGATTCCCTAACCCTTTGAGTATGACCAATATCCCAGGGTCAGAATAGAATCAATACAGTCAGAGAGGCAAGGTGATACTGCAGCTATTCTACTAAATACTGACAACGTGAGAGTACATCATGACACTGAAACTATTTCCATGATTGTGAATATGATTGAGGGCATTGGATTATACACTTGATAATGGTTAAAATGGTATATTTTGTGCTAAAATTAATTTTTTAATTTAAAAAAGAATGGTTTTTAGAGGACCTTTGCAAAGCAAAAAACACCATATAATGCAACAAAACAAAATGATAAAATAATTAATCACCTGTAATACTATATTGTGGAAACTGAAATAAACAAATCAAATATACATTCAAAAAAATGTTTTCCGTGAGCCAAATCCTAAAACTCTGATTTTAATTAGATGATATTTCTACAATTCTAACTTGAACTAGAACATGATTTTCTGGAATATTAATGTTTATCAGACATACTTCTAAAAATAATTTTACTTATTTTTTGACTGCAGGCTGATAAGCTTAAGCTATATTTTAAAATAATAGATGATTTGAGGTTTGACATTTTAAAAAGAACTTATGCATTTTCAGTTTTGTTTCTTATTTTTCTTGTTCTTCTTCCTAAAGGAGCTTCCTCTGACATTCCCACTTTGCTAGTACACCTCTTATTTGAAGAGGTAAAAGTAAGGCAAGCAGACTACAGTTTTTTAGTGTATTTGAGGCTGAGGAGGAAGTGGGCAGAGCCCTGAGGTTAAACATGATAGATAAGCAACTTTATTTAACAGATGACCACCCCCACCCAAAAAACAAAAACATCTTAATGCATTTGAGTCAATGGCCAACAAGTGGCCCAACAGAAGAGGGTAGAACTGTCCCTGTGAGTTCTGAGACTGTAACTCCTACGGGAGGAGAGGCCTCAGCTTTGTACCCCAGAGTCAGTGGTGGGACGCAGCAGTTCAGCAGAACCCTTATCTAATTTTTTGGTGAGTTCGATGAAGAGGTTTTTTAAAATGGCACTTGTAGCCAGGGTTTTCTCTAAAGTGGGGCAAGGGCAGCCACCCAATGTGGAAACCACAAATTTACATTCCTTACTCCTAAACCAGTGGTTCTCAACCTTCCTAATGCCGCGATCCTTTAATACAGTTCCTCAGGTTGTGGTGTCCCCCAACCATAAAATTATTTTCATTGCTACTTCATAACTACTTTTGCTAGTTATGAATCATAGTGGAAATCTGATATGCAGGATGTATTTTCATTGTTACTATTTGAAGATAATTAAAGCATAGTGATTAATCACAAAAACAATATGTAATTATATGTGGTTAAATATTTCTTTCTAATTACAAATAAATGACATTTTGTCTTGAAGCATGGTGTAACAAGGGTAACAGTCTTCACCCTGGGTGCTTGTAGTAGGCGTATCTGTATGTGGGCGGACCCGCCTGAAGACGGATAGAGGATGGGTGTGTTGGTTCCTAAGACCATCGGAAATATGTGTTTTCTGATGGTCTTAGGCGACCCTGTGAAAGTAGTTCGAGGACCAAAAGGGTCGCGACCCACAGGGTGAGAACTGCTGCTCTAAACATTCTGCTGCACAACAGTGAATTCTAAGCACCCACAGTAATAATCATTCCGTCAACAAGTATAAAAAATTAGATAGAACTATGCCTGTAATATTTATTCATTTCATAAAATTTGTTATGCTTCTGATAAAATACTACATTTTTATCCCCTTGTGTTTGTACTTCAGTAAGCAAACATATAATGTACAAAGAAAATGTGCCAAACAACCAGAAGGTGACACCTGCCAAGCGTTGCAGCTTTGTGTTACACCGCAAATTCCCATGAGACTTTATGAGTGAATTATGTAATT